ATTCTATCTATTTTCACTATAGTACGGATGGCACTTGTCAGTTGTCACTAAAAAGGTTACATACTCTATGGTTGCCACTATTATATATATGACTAGCGACTCACCCCCGCTTCGCTTGGGTTCGTCTCTGGCTTGCTTCCCCATACAAACTGTCATCCCCATTTTCATCCCCTTAAGGGATGATTCCGGGATAAAAATATATAAATAGTCGGATAAAAACATAAAAATATGTAATATATAGATTTCCGGAATAAATATATCCTATGTCCTTCCCAGAGTCTCAAACCTCCTTACCAAATTTCATCTAAATCGGTTTAGTAGATTCAGAGATTACCTCCTACAACGCCACAAACTCACAATTCACAAACTCATAAACTTTACCTCTTTATAATATGAGTATTAGTATAGATAGATTGACGTAGTAGTAGAAGTACATGAAATTTAATATTGTATATGAAAAAAAACCATCTTATAGAAATATCACTCAATAGATTACGACACGGTCGCGGTTCCATACCTACGAATATGTTGTATTATCTCTTTAACCATTAGTCCAAATTATATGCAGTAGAAAGGTAGTCTTTTGTTTTAAAAATTTTAGACCATAAAATTGCTTATTTTGATAAGAATTCAGTGGCTGTTCAAATATGCCGTATAAAAATAATACGCAGTTGAAATTGTATCGTTTCCCCCCGAAAGTTCATTGAACACTGTGTGGATAATCTTCAAATGTCAAAAATGGATAAACGCAATGAAAAACTACGTGTAAGTAAAGTCTTCTAATTAAAAAAAATATTATTATTATTTTGTGTATAATCAATATGATACTACAATTGTCAGGTATTAGACAAGTTCTAAATTTTTTCAATCATTTTTTTTTATTTCAAGTGATTACAAATTATAAAATAATATTATTTGTACTTCGAAACTTTTAAACATCTTTAGCTTTTATTTTTTTAATTTTTATTCTGTCAAAATTTAAAATACTTTTCAAAAAGCTTAAAAATTACTAGATTCTACTATTTTCAATATCGTACAGTTAATTTACAAAAATAATTTTAATACTAACAATAATTATCATTCTGTAAAAATTAGAAACACTGGTTTGAGCGACAACTGTGCAGGTTATGACTGATAGCTTATTTTCGTCTTCTGTTTCAATTACATTTAAAACATGACCTGATTCAAATAATTTTTGGCCTTTTTTATCGTTTTGACCTTTAATCCGATAATTTTTTATCGTTAAAAAACTAAATTTGATTATTTTTCGCATTATTTAGACATAACTAATATTATTTATTACACTGTTTACATCACTATGTTTTTCTTATTTAACACCAGGGCGCTCTACTTTCGATAGAAGTGCTGCTCTCGATAGTTTGCGCACGATCCCTATTATAGGTTAAAGTGCGAAAAAAAATTGAAAAATAAAATAAAAACGAAAAGTTGTCGCCCAGTCAGAATTTTTTTTTAATCTCATTTATGGGTGCCCCTCTATTGTGGAGGCCCCGGGGCTCTAGCCATGTCATCCCTTAATCCGGCCCTGCTTATTCTGAATTTAAAAGTTTTACTGATTTTATTGAAAACTCTGCCCTTAGATGAGTTTATAGTGCGTATAAATAGATGGCATTGCTTAATAATTCTAGTTAAGTCAATGTAATATTTTGTGTAGTGATGGGTCAATTGTGCTCATAATCAAACGAAGATCCGTTACGGTCTACTATTTGTCAGTCCAGGCTCAGCTTTTCGTTGCCTCAAGTATAATCTTCGTAATAATTTCTTTTAGCTATTGTTTCATTTTGTCTATCCAGGAGTCTTTTCATGTTGCTATTTTAGTTTTTTATAAATACACTAGAAACTTACCATTGCTTCGCTCGGGTGCGTCCCCCTAAAAATAGACATATGCTATCGCAGACTTTTCTTTGAGCCTTTTTAAGCCCTAAAATATTACTAGTACACTGTTTTAATGTATCTAAATCTCAAAGTTTCGACGACTCGACGGAATCAATTATTGTGTTTTCCAGTGAGAACGAAAGGTTTTTCGAGAAGTAAAAGTATCCTAAATATTGACTTGAGTAATAAGTTCATCACTACTTTTTTTTAATCGGTTCAGTACGGATATAGACAAACAGACACAAATTTTAATAACTATTGTTTTGGGTCCTATATATTGTAAACAATACGTTTCCTTCATCGTTTTTAAAAAATATTTCATGTTCAGAGTTCGCTTTGTTACTATTTTATTATATGTACCTGTGTATATCTCTTTCTATACTCATTTCTCCTCACTCCTTTCAGTAGTTTAAGATATTATACCAGACAGATCAGCCCAAAAAATACGTGAAAATTATTTCTAATGTTTCTTATATGGTTCATTTGAATAATTTTTCTTATACACAGTTGATTAGAAGAATGTAGAAAACGGATAAAGAAAGAAAAAGTGTCAGCAGACAGAATAATGACAATCATAATTTTAATGTAGCTGTAATAATTTTTTTATGAGATGTTATCGAAAATGATTTGTGAATTTTAAGAATAACCAGACGGTTCCCTCGCTATATTCTTATGTACAAACTTTTTTTCTATTGTACGTAACACATTACTATTACAGTGTGTTAGTTTAATACATTAATATAAGAACATTAAAAATATATAAAGGTTATTCGAAGTTGTCTCCATTAGCTGCAATACAGCTAAAGCAAAGCAAAGCTAAGCATCCTTTAAACGTTGAGGCCAGTTATTAATAGAAGCACGCACTCTTTCCATGGGAAAACTTCACTGCCAATCGTATGTATTATTTTAGGGACTCCAAATTATCATGGCGTGGTTCTACTCTGTTGACTAATTGGAAAGCTTCCTTACAACTTTGAGCATAAATACGGTCATTTTGTTTGTTAAAATATTACTCAATTGTAAAAAAATTCTCATCCGTAAACTAAAATTTTCTGTGACCTCCCTTTGCGTACCGATTAAGTAGTTGTTTTGATTTTACCACCCTATTCTTTTTTAAATTATCAGTTAAGAAATGACCAGTGCGTACTTTTTAAATTATCAGTTAAGAAATGACCAGTGCGCACTCTTATAGGCTGCAGCTCCTAAGTCATCTTTTAAAATACGCGACATGGTTGTAGGTACTATCTTTATCTCCCGAGATAAAATCTTTTACTTTCGTCAGGATTTCCTCGAATTCTTTCCCTTACTGCTTTGATCGCCTTTTTCGTACAAACACTACGTGGACGGCCAGGTATTTTTCTGTCACAAACAGAGGAGGTTTTATTGTACTTATCAATAGACGGTACACAAACATTTGACTCATACCAAGCGTATGGAGAGTTTTTAAAATTGTATTTTGCTCCATACCCACTTTATGTAATGCAATCACAACGATTCGGTTCTCTTTATCACCCCACTCCATTTTAATATCACAAAATAGTTTACAATGCATTGGCGCGAAAATGAGAAAACACAATGAACAATCATATAAAAATGATGATTCCAAATTCAAATATAAATTATTTTGTTTATTTTTAATTGTAACAGTATTTATGGCCAGACTATGTATATTTCACTAGCTAAGTTATATTCCACTTTTTTAAGGTACCTTCACTTCACTCCGTATCAGCGTGAAGGAGTAACAAACAAATATACCTACCTATTTTTTTTGTATCTATATTTATATTAGCCTAATTTCGTACGTAAAGGTAAAAACTACTTATTAATAAAATAAGAAATTATAGGGTATTAAAATAAAATTAAAGTTTTAAGCGAAACTATGGTGAGAGAGAAAATAAAAAAAAACTAGTAATAAAGACTGTAGCCTTTATTTTTTAACTAATTTTCTATTTCACTGCGTCATAATAATTGATTTTCCTACAGACAAATATATATATATATATATATATATATATATATTCTTTTTTGTTGACATATTATATTTTTAAAGAACTATGTGACACTACATGCTAAATAGAACTATTTTTAGAAATATTTTCAATTCATTTAACTTTGACAACCCGAAAGTGTTCAAATAAAGGTACATATGAAGATTGTCTACACATAAAGCAAGTTTAATGCAGTTTTTCTATGCAACTAGTGTTTATTTATATAAAACTAGCGACTTACTCACCCTCGCTTTGCTCGGGTTCGCCCCCAGGTTGCTTCCCCATACAAACATTCACCCCCATTTTCACCCCTTAAAAGAGAAGATTTCCGGGATAAAAACTATCCTATGTCCTTCCCAGGGTCTCAAAGTATCTTCTTGCTAAATTTCATCTAAATCAGTTCTGTACTTTCGGAGCTTATTCGACATGAACAAACAAAAAATCAAATTTTTCCTCTTTATAATATTAAGAATAGATTAAATAGATTTTTTAATTTGAATTGTTACAAAATAAAATATAAAATAGATGTTTATAATATAGACTATTATTTTTTTATAATCGAGCTATTACCAAAAAAGATAAATATATATAAATATAGAAATTATTAACACTATTAAAATCTATGAAAAATTAAACAATTTTTATAAATCTTGAAATATATCTGAATTATGTAAAAATAACCAGTAGGTAACATAAACCAGTATACCAGATACCTAAATACTTTTTATTCTAGTTTTATACGTTTAATTAGGATTTTTCGTTCGTTCTATAGAGAATAGTTACCAAAGTATTATTATTTATAATCAGATAAGTTTTTGAGTACACAAATATTTATATTATAATAACGTATCATATATATTTTATATTATAATAATGTATCATAAATATGATCATAAATATTTTTTTGGATTGTATTATTACCGTGGGAATTAAATAATTTCCCGTGGTAAAAAGTAGCACTCTCCAGCTCTCCAACTATCTACACAGAAAAAATAACGCCAATTCCCTCCGATGACAAATTTTTACATTTCGTATTCCTATGGTGAGTAAGACATATTATATGAGGAGTGACTTTTTAAAAGAGCTTATTTCTTCATTAACCATATTTTTGAAAATTCACTCCTCATTTATCACTGGAGTTTCTGGTGACACGGCGATTTGGCGAGGACGTCTTTTGGCCAGCCTGCGTTTACGCCTACAAAAAGAAAAGAAAAAGCTTATCGATCTTAAAATTGAACGGTATACCCTCAGACTATATAACAATGTAGGCAGAGTGTAATAGAACTTGAAGCCAAACAATGTTATAAAATAGTATATAAATGTTTCTACAGATTAAATGTTACTGTGACAATTAAATAATTGTTAATAAATAAAAATAGCAAAGGGATTTTATTATAAGAAAGAAAAAAATGAAATAAGCTACTATTATGCTATATCTCTTTTAAGGAGGAGAGAACTAATGCCTAAAAATATAAAAGAATATACTTAGCATTATTTTTATTATTATCTCATTTTTTAGTCTGAGGGAATACCTACTAACTGAATTTTCAGATGAATTCATAATACAATGATAACATTAAAGTTACTTTTGGGTGATACAGTTTATTCATAATCGTACGCTATTTTATTGCTGATGATTGACTAAATAGAATATTCGTCTTAGTCACAATATGTTCGCAAAATGACTGCTGCGCTATTTGCTGCAAACTTCAGAGAGGCAATTATGATACCAGGACTGAACATGACATAACCATAAAAAGTTATCTATATAAGTATCCGCCAAATATTTCGCATTGCAGCTTAGTTTCAGAGATGGCTAATAAAATCGCTTGCTCGCATCGCTATCTATCGATTTCATACATAATATAAATGTAACAGTTCACTTCGTTCAGATGCATAATACTTGCCTCTACTGCGTCGCAATTTTCACGCTATCCCAATGAAATGTAATAATTCGCGAATCAAACTCACTATAACGGGTATACTTACTTTTTAGTTAAATTCATAACACAATGATAACATTTAAAGTTACATTTGGGTGATATAGTTTTTTCAGACCCATTCGCTATTGTGCTACTAAAATAAATTGACTAATATAATAAAATATTCGTATTCTTTGTCTAAATATGTTCGCAATTATTACTCCTGCGCAACCATTTGCCGCAAATTTCAGAGTGGCGATTATGATACCAGGACTGAACATGACATAGTCTAAAAAAGTTATCTATAAACGTATTCACTAAATATTTCGCAATGCAGCGTAGTTTCACGGATAGCTATAAAAACGCTTGCTCGCATCGATATCTATTCTACTAATCTATTGATTTTATAGATAATAGAAATTGTAACTGTTCCCTTCGCTCAGATGCATGGTACTTAACTCTGCTGCTTTGCAAGTTTGACGCTATCCTCATGACAAGTTATGGATCGCGAATCAAAATCACTATAACAAGTAAAGATTTAACATTTATGAACATTTATGACTAAGTTTAAGTCCACTTTTTTCTAATTATATGGTAAAATAACATTATGTGCTAAATTTTTGAGTAAATAGTTTTAATTGATTGGGAAACGCATTCAACTTGATATTATACTGAGTAATAGTAACTAATAGTCCCTTAAAAAGCTGTTTTGTGCGTATCCAACATAATACTTACGTCTTGTTTATAGCCGGGCCAGCAACTCGGCTCTCGCTGGCTACGGACTCTTCTTCTTGCCCCCTCTGTGTCGTCCTTTAAAAAAAAATCTATTTTAACGTAGTAATGACAATGTCAATACTTTTATTCCTATAACTTACACACACAACCGATTTTTAAAAATATTGCAACGATTTTAATTAGTACGAAAAAACTATAACATTTAAAAGGTTAACTGTCGAGATATTCGCACGCTCTAATCCGCAGAATTGTATTCTAAAGAAACTTAATAAATAGTAGATATAAAAATTCAATTGAAACAAATGTATTTTAATTTATTTTAGCTGCCGATCATTACAAGGCTATTTTTAGAATTGAAAACCCCATACGAAATATATTATATATAAATAGAGTAAGTGCACATTCACACGGCGTTGTGTGTTTCTCTACCGAATCGGTTTTTGCAGGATTTGGTAAGTGGCAACATTATTTAAATACATGAGTTCACACATGCATTCAGTTTCAAGATACGGCGAAAAACCGAATCTCGCTGAAGTTGACATCCGATTTGGCGGCTACAAATTGATTTGACCGTACTACAAAATGTAGGATTCGGTGCAGTGGCATAGTGCTTTAAATACATGCGTTCATACGATACAAGCAGGTGTAGATTCGGTTATATGCCGGATCTTGAAACCGAATACATGACGTGTCGCACAAGCGGTTTTATGTTTTTCCAAAAAAATATCAAATGTAGGTATAGTCATTCTAAAGTAGTTAAAAATCTCTTTCCACGACGCCGACGGTGATAATACCAGCTTATTATAGCAATGAGGGACTGTGCGCTTTTTTGCTACGTGTGAACGTAGCGAAAAAAACGAAAACTTAGCTAGAGTGTATCCAGTGTGAACGCGCTATCGATTACATAGATCATATAAATGTAACAGTTCACTTCGTTCAGATGCATAGTACTTGTTGCGTCGCAATTTTCACGCTATCTCAATGAAATGTAATAAATCGCGGATCAAACTTACTATAACGGGTATACTTACTTTTTAGTTAAATTCATAACACAATGATAACATTTAAAGCTACTTTTGGGTGATATAGTTTTTCAGACTCATTCGCAATTGTGCTGCTGAAATAAATTGACTAATATAATATAATATTCGTGTACTTTGTTATGTTTGCAAATGCAAATGTTTGCAATAATGACCCCCTGCGTAGCCATTTGCAGCAAACTTCAGAGAGGCAATTCTGATACCAAGACTGAACATGACATAGTCTAAAAATGTTATCTATAAAAGTATTCGCCAAATATTTCGCAATGCAGCGTAGTTTCACTGATAGCTAATAAAATTGCTGGCTCGCATCGATATCTATTCTACTAATCTATTGATTTTATAGATAATATAAATTGTAACTGTTCCCTTCGCTCAGATGCATGGTACTTAACTCTTTTTTTTTACGTTGGGAAATGCATTTACGCTCGAGGTGTGGGACTCACCCGCAAAGCCAGTACTACCCACTAAAACCCAACAAAGCCTTCCCCCTGTCTTAATGGGGCGTCGCAGGATCGCTTACGCATTCAACTACGACGCCCCGACGGCAGGTCTGCCGAAGCAGACCACAACAACGCTATCAGAGAAGTACCAGGAGCAACCCGCATGGTACACGGCCCTCCGAAGAGGGCCACCTCCCACCGAAGTGGGCCACCTCCCTGTGCGTTTCTTGGCTTCGCGCCCGGTTGGGTTGCCGGACACTACTGAGCCCCCCCACCACGACAAGGTGAACGCACGTTGGGGGGGATGGTTCTTAACTCTGCTGCTTTGCAAGTTTGACGCTATCCTGATGACAAGTTATGGATCGCGAATCAAAATCACTATAACAAATAAACAGTTAACATTTATGAACATTTATGACTTTTAGGTACGCTTTTTTCACATGTAAATATGTAACACATAAATTTGTTTAGTAAAATATTTGAATAAGTAAATAGTTCGTTTTAAACAATGACGAAGTATTAATATCTGTCACTTATTAAATTAGATATCTATACATATAATAAAATTCTAAGTCGAATCTGTACATTAAATATTTTTTGGAAAATCTTATTGAAATAGACATTATTATCGATATAGAGGCCGAATCAATAGTTTTTAGAATTTTTGTCTATCCGTCTGTCTGTCTGTCTGGCTGTCTGTCTGTTACCGCATCACGAAAAACCACTGGAGGGATTTTGATGAAATTTGATATGATGATAGCTGGTTATCCGGGTCAACATATAGGGTACTTTTTTTAGGGGAAAATAACTCATTTTTGAGAAATCTATACTAAACGTTAAAACATAAGTAGGGTAGGTTAAAGCTTAAATTTTATCATATCCGTCCCTCTTGGTAACTGGACAAGAACAGGTGGATATTCTGTTGGATGCAGGGTTTTGATTTCGGACACAAATTCCGGAAAACCTATTGAGGCTAGTTCAGTGGGAAGGGTGTTGTGCACAGATTTTGGTAAGCCTTTAATCACTGCTTTCGGGGATTTCTCATCTTTTCTTGTGAATGTATGAAAGGCCACATTTTCTTTAAGCAGACAATCTTTTACAAGCTGGTGATTTTGAGCGGAGTAGCATTGCTCTCACAATGTTTCTACCTTTTGGCATATGGAAATCTTCTATATATTTTAAAATAAGTCCTTAATTTTCTGATGGGTACAATCACCCAGTAACTTGATAATTATTGGAGGAGTATTGATAACTTCCTTTTTCTTGGTAGCCTATAGGTAGAATTCTGAGGTTTGGCCATCTACAGGCAAGCCTCGGTATCGGTTATTGGTTGGTATTTATCTATCCTTTGAAGTTTCTTTGGAGTTGGCAAAAAAACCGTTTGGCTGTTGCCATTGGTCTGAGGAGGTTCCATCTTCCCTGGGTCTCTTGTTGACTAAGTTCGGAATAGATGATGACCTGGTTAAGAAATGGATAAATCAATGATGAGACTAAGGAGTAATCTATCTATAATAACTCATCGATAGCTCCTTAGCCCATCATTTTAAATTGGTTGTACGTTATACGGCTTAGTGTACGCGTGCGCTTGTAAAGACAACCGAACGCCGAATGATTATATTATTATACTGAGTTATTACTCAGTAAGTAAGAGTAACAAATAGTCCCCTAAAAAGCTGTTTTTGTGCATATCTATAATAATACTTACGTCTTGTTTATAGCCGGGCCTGCAGCTGCAACCCAGCTCACGCTAGCTACGGACACTTCTTGTTGCCCCCTGTGTGGCGCCCTTTAAAAAAATACGTTATGTGCTTTAGGAAAATGTCTATTTTAACGTATTATTTAAATAACGACAATGTGAATATTTTTATTCCAATAACTTACACACACACCCGATTTAAAAAAAAATTGCGATGATTTTAATTAATATGTCAAAAATATAACATTTGAAAAATTAACTGTCGAGATATTCGCACGCTCTAGTCCACAGAACTGTATTCTAAAGAAACTCAATAAATAGTAGATATAAAAATTCAGTTGGAACAAGCGTATTTTAATTTATTTTAGCTGCCGATTTATTACAAGGCTACTTTTAGAATTAAATACCCCATACGAAATATATTTAAATAGAGTAAGTGCACGTTCACACGGCGTCGTGTGTTTTTCTACCGAATCGGTTTTTGCAGGATTCTGTTAAGTGACAACAGTATTTCAATACATGAGTTCACACATGCATTCAGTTTCAAGATACGGCAAAGAAACCGAATCTAGCTGAAGTTGACATCCGATTTGGCGGCTACAATTTGATTTGGCCGTACTACAAAATGTAGGATCCGGTGCAGTGGCACTCTGACGACACTTTTATTAATGTATTGTAATTCCTCCTTAAAGTTTGCTTTGCAATGACCATTGATAATTCTCAGGGCCAGTTGTCGTTAAAAGTTAGAGATTTAGAGAAAATTGCTTCCTACATGTACATTTTAGCAGAACCCAGAACCAGACAGAACCTTACATACAAAGAAGTTCTTAATAAAACTAGAATTTCCTGCTCGCGACTTTTTACCCTAGACTAAATTAAGAGAATCTATAACTTTACAAATTCGATATGACAACTTATAAATTCAATGGAAATTAAAACTTAGCAATTTTTTGGTATAGGTACTACAACGAAATAAGAATGACAATTTATTTATGTAACGTAAAAAATGATTAGAAGGAGGGAGAGTTTCAGTTGTACATAACCATAATCTTTATGTATAGATAAATGTCAAAGTGTGTTTGTCAGTCCTTCTTGAAACGGATTGACGAATTGGCATGATTTTTTGTGTGGCTATAGTTGGAGGACTGGAGAGTGACATAGGCTACATTTTACCGCGGGCAATCATCTCATTCCCACGGGAAAACACGTCATAAACAACCCAAAAAGTTATTTATGATTAGAATTACTTAAAACTTGGTATTAATGCTCTTCGATACTATTAAATAAATACGGGCTTTAGCATTTTTGGAAATTCATCACATAAGGGGGTAAAATAGGATATGAATTTTAGCGCGAGTGAAGCCGCGGGTTCTGCTAGTACTTACATAAACGTAAGGAAGAACGGTAAAACTGGCCCGGCTACCATCCGGGGCCTCTCATTTTTACTCTCCGTAGCAGCTTCTTCTCTAAATTAATAAACATAGAAATGTTACTTTTTTAATAAAATTTAAAGTAGATTTTGTTATTCGTATTTTACTAGATACATAATATTTCGGGAACTAGAAAATAGAGTGTTCAAATGTTTGAGACTTGACGTCTAAATACACTCATAGTAAACGTCTAGATACTCCTGTTATATTAATTAAATATTAGTACCTATATCTTTATAAATTATAGCCTACTAGTAGCAGATAGAACTAATAGCAGAACCCGCGGCTTTGCTCGCGCTAAAACTACAAAAAATCTCTAAACTTTCATACAAACTTTAATTCCCTATTTTACCCCCTTATAGGTTGAATTTCGAAAAATGCTACAACACGTATTTATTTAATTTTATTGAAGAGCATTAATACCAAGTTTCAAGTAATACTGACTAAAAATATTTTTAACGTTGTATTATAACGTGTTATCCCGTGAGAATTAGATAATCTCTCGCGGTCAAGTAGCCTATATCACTCTCCGAACCTCCAACTATCTCCACGCAAAAAATCACAACAATCCGTAACTCCGTTTTGACGTGAAAGAAGGACAAAAAACAAACATACTTTAACATTTACAATATTAGTACGGATGTGTTGCTCTAATGTATGTTAAGTAAGGTGTGTAAGTTTCATCAAAATCCTTTCATTCGCTTTTGCGTAAAAAAGTAACAAACGCACATCCATACATACTCACAAACATTGGCGCTCGTAATATCAGTAGGATAAATACTTACGTAGTGCGTACTGGCACTCCATATACTGGGGCGGTCCGTAGCAGACTTATGAAGAAATTACATGATTAAGAAATTTACTCTCGAAAATTACTCATTTAAGTAAAAAATATAAGACCCTAGCGACTCACCCTCGCTTTGCTCGGGTTCTAGAAAAACAAAAACAAATTATCCCACGGGAACCGAACATTTTTCCGGGATAAAAAGTAGCCTATGTGCTATTTCAGACTACATACAGAGTACCTGGGCCACCGACGTTCCCTCTGAGTTTTTGGTTAAAAGTACAATTTTCTTTTTAAAAAAAAACTAAAAACTTGAATAAATACAAAAAAAAGAACAAATATAAATTATACCTTTGTATCCGACCGGGATTCGAACCCGGACACCTATGATTGTACAATCTTGTGCCTTGGCCGCATGACCATGATGTTTATGCCCGAGCATGATAATTGGCATGATATATATATATATATATATATATATATATATATATATATATATATATATATATATATATATATATTTATATATATATATATATATATACATATATACATGTATATATACAAGAATTGCTCGTTTAAAGATATAAGATATACAGATATAGTGAGAGTGTCAACAGTCAACAGAGTCCTGTGACTCTGTTGACTGTTGACACACCATTACCTGTAATTAGAAGTGTTCAGATATTTCAAATGCTTTATCGTTATTTTTTAAACATTTCGGCGGGGTCCTCTACTCCTAGAACTACGAACTATAAATTTCCGGGATTTCGGACAACTCTATATCATGTATGGTCGCAAAGCTTAGGTAAATACATTTAGCCTATTCTGATAACTGATTATTAGTTTCTTCTTGCGGTTCTGCTAAATAGTTACTTTTAGTCTAAGAAAAAAAATGATATCACTTACCTTTGGGAGTGTGGATAGTAAACATAGCCTTCTGCTCTATCTTCCTCTTCTTCATCGTTTTTGCAACTGTCACCAAAGAAAATTGATATAATTATTTATAAAATTTCAAAGTAAAAAGTTTCAAGAATACGTTGAACGTTTGTGCAATTGTAGTAGAAATAAAATAGTTTTTGTTTATTTTTATATTATGACTAGCATTGCCCGCGGCCTCGCCCCCGCTCAGATGACCAAAAACCAAATTTTTAGATTTCACATATATTAAATTGCAGTTTTTGTATTTTTTTTCTCAGTAATTAGACATTTTCCGCGGTAAAAAGTATCCTATATGTCGACCCGGATAACCAGCTATCACCATACCAAGTTTCCTCAAAACCTGTCCAGTGGTTTTCTTGTGAATTGTGATGCGTTCCCAGTCAGACAGACAGACAAACATTCTAAAAACTATAAAATCGGCCTGTGTATCGATAAAAATGATTATTTCATTAAGATTTTCCAAAAAATATTTAATGTATAGATTCGGCTGAGTTAGAATTTTACTATATGTATAGATATTTGTACATAATTTGTAAATAATATAAAAATTAAAAAATATACTTACAAGCAAATTAAGGAATCAAGTAAGTGGAACCATGATCTTGGGCGCCTTTCGTTGTTATTTCTATCTCCTTCCATCTTAGCTATCTATGTTTAACACAAATACATATTATAGTATATTTTTACATTACAGTACGTTGTTAATAAAGTGCTACAATAATGTGAATTACTCGTAGCAGCGGGTTTTATAATTGTTTTACTAATGGACTACTTCTATCAATGTCAAGTTTATAATAAAAAACTTTAACAAGTTATACTTGTTCTAAACAATTTTGTAGTATATTTTTATTATAATTATTTTACAAAATCTTATAGAATTTAAGGTTCTTCAGCGAAGCGATTGTCATTTTTCTGGCACTAACCTATGGTATTTTGTAAAAAAAATCAAACACATTGAAAATATGAAATAAAATAGGGGAAAGGTGCTATGAAAGGCAACAAGTTCAGAATGGGACAAATTAAATTTACGGCGCTAGAGGAACCAAGAAGTAGATTTTTGTTTTCTATTTTCTTACAACGTTTACTCAGTAACAATATTGACGTAAATATAATTTGCTTTTCGAAAAAAAGAAAATGGCGAAGCGTGGTTTGATTATTTCGTGGGTAAAAGTATTTTATTCGTTGTTTGTGAACTTTATTTATAAGATTATTTAAATAATATTTGATAGTTATTGTATCTACACTAAAAACATTTGTCCCATACAAAACAGACAAATGTGAATATTGTTTAATAATCTTTTAACGTGTGCATGCATAAGTCCGTAATTAAATAAAATACTTAGAATATTCATTATTAAGGATTCTTCTGATTGCTAGTAAATATTTAACTTGCACATTGCACTAGCTTTACTTACTGGTCTCTTGATAATTTACTTACTGTAATTTTTATTTGTGCCACACCTAAAAAATATGAAATTTTAAATATATTAAATAAATATACCTCAACAATTTGCTTCATTACACGCTAGCCTAGCATGCCAAAGAAAAGCTAATAAAATCCTCTATATTTCAAATACATACTAAATATTTTAGTAAAAAATTACTTGTTAAAAATATTTGTTAAAAAATAGTATTATGAAGTAATTGAATTTTGGAATCGTTTCTTTGAATATAAATAAATGAAACGTAGTAATATTATACAGACACATGTATGTTTTGTATACATCCTTTATTTTTCATTCCGTACAGCGTAACGACAAATATTTACGAATATAGAAAAAAATTAAGTCAATAAAATTTTCAACAATATATAGATTATTTACCTACTTACTAGTGAATAACAAATAAAAACAAATTATTTCTTTATAATTTAAGAAAAATAAAAGCTATCCAATACTCACGATATATTCTTCACTAACTATGGTGAAATTGTTTTATTAAATACTTTAATACAATATTAAAGCATATAATTAGCAAAATACTCTGTTCTACTTACTACTAACTGTTGATAAACTCTAATATACTACATAATAAAACATTACTTATAATTAGCAACAGTAATAAATATAATATACATATTTCATTACTTTTGTAAATACGTATATCTCATAAAGCGGACTAATGATGTCTAACCGAACAAGCATGTTATTAACAATTGATAAGATTAAAAGAAAACTAAACTCATCAAACATTAACTAATAAAGCCAGAAATACAATATTGTGTCGTGTTGTGTCGTGTCATGTCAGAAGCACATCTGTTTCATAGATTATATTAGGTTAGATACACATTATTATTGTGTCTCAGAGATTTCTGTTATGCTACAACACAATAGTCACATGTGTTTCTATCTCGAATATAGCATAGTAATAATAATAATAATTGTAATAATCAACACTTTTGTTGCCCTCATTGTATAATTCCAAGTCTGTGCCTTATTTTGTCTCGTTTCTCACGTTAATACTTCTGCTTTCATAATTTTCATCATCTTCAACTTCGGAATCAATGTGTCGTGAGAAGGCAATATCCGTAAATGATGTTGTAGATACAAATGATTGCTTATTCTGTTTAAAATTTAACCTGAAATAAACCACATATTAGAATATTCTAATTCCTTGCAAAATATTTTTATATGATGTAGTATAATTAAACTATAAGCTTGTTACTAAATTATCTGGGGGCACGCAGTACCATGCTTTTCTCGAAGCCATTTAGGTCATTTACCAACATATCCCCCCCCCCCCATCCTCCCTCCTCGCACTTGCATTTTTACATATTGTTTTTTATAGGATTTATACGTTATCTTCCACTCACCCCTCGCTGCTAGAAATGACTGCTAGTGGAACTTCATACGGTGTCGGCAGTTGCTGAATGACACTGTAAGACAAAGAGTACTCAATTATTGTCAATATGGTGCAAGCAAATATTTGTAAAAGTTGATTAAATTTTATATGAAAAATACGCGTTACCTTGTTGATCTCATATCTTGCGAAAGTGTTGTTTCTTCAACCGTTGGAGGAGTAGTGGAATCCAATGTGGATCTAAAATATATGTTTTTGTTTGGTTTTATATGTTTTAATACGGTATTATGGCGTTAATAAAAAAGTAATGTTGAAGCAAGACATACATACTTATATAATATGCCAAGTATGCCTACATGTTATAGGCAGCTGTGGGTAGTTCATTTTGTGGATGTGTAAGTCCATTAGACGGAGTGAGGGTGGGACACACGATTTTAAAGTTTAATTATTTTGTTTAATACTTACAATGGCAAATTAGGTTCGATGACTTGCTGACGAGGCAATAACCACTGAGTTATCGTTAACCAATTTACATTTTCAAATACAAAAATACTTCTTATCCTTCTCATTACTACTGTCCTGACCTGTTTTAATTAAAAAAAAGTAATTGAAGTGCTTGTCTATGTTTGATCCCATATATTTATATAGACTAATACTAAATCCGCAGTAAAAGTTATATAACTTTATATATCCAAAAATCATTGTCTACAATGTCCCTTTACTGGTGTAAAGAAGATTTCAGTGATGGTACGGCCCTACTCATCGCGAATGTATTCGAGCGATAAAAATTCGCCGTCCGCCTACGGCGAATGTGCATGGCCACATTGCATCCTTGTAAAGTTTATCGCAAAAACATGGACGCCACGGTCGCTCTTTTTTTAAGCCAGCGAACTTGAACTTAATTCGAGTTCCATAATATCAGCTCAGACTCATAATTACTAATAAATTCTAAAATCTTATTGTTTTTCCAATGTCAGCACCAGACAGTGGGCTGAAATCCGAATGAAGTGTGGCCACGCAAGTTCTTCGCTCTAAAACCTTTTGATGTGCGAGAGTTTACCGACAGCGGAGCGATAGGCTTGCGACTTCGCCCGAAGTGCCGAAGTATTCGCGGATATATTTGGCTTCATGTATTACGATAGCACAAATATTCGCGTTATCTTGATGTGCGCGGCCGAGGCATGACAGTGATTTTTTTAAATACAGGACTTCTTACGGAATAAAATTTAGAAAAAGAACCGCTTGTCCTATTTTCATGAGTTTTCTACTAACCGATAGAATTTTTATACTCTTATTTATATTCCTCTATTAAGTTTTTATAATTTTAATTTCGAAAACATTACGTGGTTTCTGTAGAATAGGAAATAAAAGTTTTATAAGCTTGCTAGTGAGCGGTTGCAAGGCAAAAACGAATTGTTAATTTATAATTTAACATTTAACGTTTAAAATTTTTATAATCCTTACCTCCTCATTTCCGACACAGTATATTAAACTTAAAAGTAAGCCCTGGAAAGATTTCAGAAATTGCCTACTATAACTAAGGGCCATAAATAAATATATTGGAGTATGTATAGATGTGTCGAATGTACTCAGCACGTTTGATAGACCCAAAATAGGCAGTAAAAATAAAGCTGCTTTCACGCCTTTCCTGTAAAAATCAAACTTGTAATTGATTTTAATATAATTTTTAAATTAAATCATAATTAATTATAAATATTTCAAACTATAAAGTAATATATAGTTATGCCTTACTTAATTTTAATAATTTCTGGTGTTCTCGCGTCTTTTAATTTTTGTATTACCATTTTTAGTACTCTGATGAGAATTACAGCATTACACTACAACAAAATATATTAATATAATATGAAATTGTTTCAATACTACATAAAACTTACTAATGTTGTAAACGATTTAGGTAAAATCTTACCAAAATAACTGCCAGACGGGGTCCCTGTAAAATCCAGTAACTTGATGATAAATTGTAGCCAAACCAGCATCTAAGCAAGAAAAATAAAAATTGAACTGAACTTAAAGCTAGCAATTCTATCCTTGGTCAGCACATGAAAAGCTCTACTATTCAAGAAAGGAATGCTGAAAACATATTGGGTGTTCTCCCTCTTCTATTACTTTTAAAGAATATTGTATTCAGTCCTTTTTAACGTCCCACTGCTGGGCACGGGTCTCCCTTCAGTACGAGGGGGATCAGGTCATAGTCCACCACGCTGGCCAAGTGCGGGTTGCTGGACTTCACATGTCTTTCGAAAACTTGCTAGGATCTCTCAGACATGCAAGTTTCCTGACGATGTTTTCCTTTACCGTAAGGAAAATGGTAATCATGTTAGAATTGATTCGCACATGAAAACACCATAGGTGCGAGACCCGGGATTCAGCAAGAATATGATTCATAACTAAAAATATATATGTATAACAAAAATTTGACTTAAGAAATTCACTAAATCGAATTATTAGAAAAGCTATTTATATTTACTTACACTCTGACATAATCCCATCGGTAAGAAAGCCAAACTACTACAGCCCAGATTGACGTCAACAAGAAAGGCACTACCCAAGCTGCGAGACAGTATACTTTGAAGTTGAATGGTTGTAGAGCCTCATTTGAAATCAAGTAGTTGAGATGTAATCCCTCTACTAAGACCCATGAAAATATAGTAGACATAGTATATTCTGCTATAAAATACAGAGCTTCGCAAATATTCGGCTGAAAACATTTATTATTAAAATTTGAAGTGAAGAAAGAATATTAATTCTAAGTAAATTAAAAGTAACTGGACTAACCGTATTATCAATTCCTTTTAATATATGGTTTCTTGTTTTAACTCCTATGCTTTCTCTTGTTATTACTTGATCGAAGAAAATTATAAGGCATACAACGGTTTGAAAAAGCATTGAATAAAACACGTGCTTGTGGATAAGAGTCCTGATATTGTGGAGGGTACTGAAATATTAAAATTAATCATTAATAAAATATTGTGTTTTTTGTTTATTTATGTAATAATTTAAAAAGCGCTTACCGGAACGTGTAGAAAATGTATAGCGACACAATAATAGCAACGCATGATACCATGTATCCGATTATTTCAATGTATCTACTCTTTCGGGCTATGTCATATTTTGTCTGAAACAAATATCAAAATATAATATAAAATAAAGAAGCTATGTTTTATAACATAGCATATTTAAAACAAACATAAGCAACGATATATTTTGAAATTATTATATTTATTACTTACATTAATCACTGTTGCATACAAATAATGAATATCACTCACTACAAACGATTTTTAAATTAACCTATAGGTACGTACAAATCAAATGTAAACGAAGACACCTGATCTTAAAATCATGAAATAATATCGGTATGATATTAAGTTGCTTGTGACTAATTATTTTAAAGACCAAACTGCTGAATTGTAAAGGCGAAATTTTAAAGCCTCTACAAATAGTTTTTTTTTTTAAATTAATATTATTTTGCGCGTTGTTGCAGTTTTTCTTTTTTTAAACACTATCCGACCTTTAATATAGCACTATATAATTTAAATAACTTTAAGCTTTAAAAACACATCAAGATTGCTGTAGGTTTCAAGTAAAATAACAAAAAAGATGAAAATATACGAAAAAAAGAAATAAATAAAAAAAGTATTTTTAAGTCAAAATTATGTAGTTTAGCATAGCAAATATATTTTGACTTGATTGATTTGGTTTAAAATCCAGAGGCAGACCCAAAACTAGATGGAAAGATGTAGTGTCAAAGGACATGAATAAGTGGAGACTTTTCGAAGACTATGTCTCTGACAGAGCGAAGTGGAGTAGAATAAAAAGGAAGGAAGAGAGAGATTTCTAATTTTTGGAGTTGCAATATTTTTAGATGTTTTATAGGATTGTTTGATTGTATGCAGAAACATAACGTAATTACAAAGTAAAACTAATAAAAAATTAAGTAATTTTTGTTTGTTATTTACAGCTTTTTAGTTGTTGCTATTTTGACTTTTACGTGGAGTTTTGTTTAGCTTTTTAACATATATAAGTTGTATACATGTTTGTAATCGCCTCTTAAAAATATTTATTTTGATACTAATATATTATTACTATATTAGCTACTAGCTTATTATATTATATTTATTAGCTTACTAGATACTATAATTAGCTCCTTAAATTCGCCATTATGATTTTCGAGGCAGTCGGGGAAAAGTAACTGCCTTTGGAATTGTCTTGTTAAATCTCACTTTAGTATAGTGTGATGTCCATATTCAAGATATTTATTCCGATAGGTATTTATAGGTATATACCCAACATGTTTCTTATATAAAATGAAAAATAAAAAAATATAAACCTTTATTTATTTTCACCTGTGCCTGTGTCTGTCTGTAATCAAAGCTTGCAAGTTTTTGACCTACTTCCCAGTAACCGACTGAGCTGAAATTTGACACACACATTTGGTTCTACAAAGCACCATTTTTAATCCAATATAGCAGACGTTACAAAATGGCGATTTATCATTTCCATAGTGATCCTTACGATATGAAGAGGCTTGATGAGGGAAACACGTTAAGCAAAGTGACGTCAATGTAAATCCAATATGGCACACTATGTTTTTTTATGCACCCATGATATGGATATCAAATGAAAAGGTTTTCTGAGAAAAATACGAATAAAATAAAAACTAAAAAAATTAAAGAAAAGTTAGTGGTAAGAACATTTAAAAAATAAGGAGTTGAAAGGGAAATCACGAAAAAGGTTACCTATGCTTTTTTATTTAATAAATAAATTATTTATTTTGATTATTTTTAATATTTTGATTTTCTATATATCTATTCATGTAAGTAGCAAAAGTTATTTTTGCTTGTAGGTTGCATTCTCATTTATTAAGTAATTAGTAATTACCTATATTTTTTAATTAAATCTTTATCAATTATATTTAATATCTTTATTATTTTATCGCATTATATTAAGAATTTCATTAGGTATGTATATAGGTGGTATGCGCAAAATTCATTTCCCAATATTAAAAAAACAAAGCGAGTGGGGCTGTGTCGAGGCACAACGCCGCTGGTTTAATATTACAGTAAAAATAAAATATAACTTTGCCCTAAATTTCCGATCCAATTTTTTTGATTGAAAAAATTGGATCGGGAATTTAGTGCAAAGTTGACCAAAAAGAACGTCTATTTTTACTGTAGTATAACATGAAACGTTTATTTCGGCGAGTCGCTTTTAGTGAAAACAAAATTGACTTCGTTCTAATTATACCTACTGACACTAAATACTCGTAGGTAGTGTATCCATATAAAGTTCTTTTGATTAATATTGGTCAAAATGTTTGTTAATGGTCTGTGATCTGAGAAATAAGAAATATAAAGCGTTGTTTATTAAGCGTGCCTTGGCAGCTTGAAACGCTCTCATAATCGCCTTGCTCGCTCAGCGCCGGACATTCGGGTAGGTACGTATGCGTAGCCCATAACCCCCTTTTTCCAGTGGCAACCGTGATTTATATTTCCGGCTGGCTACAGCACGAGCTGAATCGTCGAAATAGATTTTATAAACACATTATAAAATCACGTCGCTATCACGCGTGAGTCCTGAGTTGCACCAAATAGAAAGGAGCGTGAACGGGGTTTTCGGTTATTCGGCGTAGTGCCCTATCCCAGTGACCCCGCCCAACCCAGACACAAAGTCAAGGTCAAAACAGTGAGCTAACTATAAAAGCTAATTGATGACACTAGATTTATGTTTCTATTTTCTAAGACTAATAGTTTTGTTTTTTCTTTAAGTGTGATTTTAAAGACGTTTCACGTAAACAAAAAACGATTTTCCCAAGCTTCGCCTTCTACTACGCGGCAATTCGAGAACTCTATGTGCGCAATGACCATCAGTTATACGAATGACATGTTCCACCGACTGTCAAATAAGCTTGGTGATTTGGCGGGCGGGCTTGTTCGATGACCGTAGTTCAAAATAACGTTGAAACGTATCTCCACATCACGCGCCAGTGTTCTGTGTTTGTTTTGCTACACTGGTCGAAGCATTTTGTATCACTACACTAACTCGAGCTGAATTCATTCATTGGTCCATTTGAAACCGCTCGAAAAACTAGTGCGGCCCAAGTGACTATTAAATCGAAGGTAAAAAAAAATCATTGCTTAGAAACAAGGTGGGCGTGTAATGTTTTAGCAAGGAATTAGATATAAGAGAATGATTCCATTTTTTTTTGTAGTAAAAGGAGCAAACGAGCAAACCATCCACCGGATGGTAAGGCTATCGCCGCTAATAGACATCTACAAAACAACAGACGTTGCGAATGCGTTGCCGGCCTTTAGGAACCTGAAGAAACGACTCTTGAAGAGCCCCATGCAATAGAGCTCAGTGAAAACCTCAAGAGGAAGATCATTCCACATTTTGCACGTACGAGGTAAAAATGATCTTCATCTAGTGCCTTGTTCTTTTTGAGAGCCACACTTAGGTATATCTATATCTAATCGAGGTAATGGTATATAAAGGTAAAAGCTTGCGCTGACGAAGCCACGCGTATACGCTAGTAAATTAATAGTTGCTCAGCGGTATTACAGAAATAATAATTATGCGTAAAAGTGGAAAATATACATTAGAAATTAGACATATCGCTAACATAAATATTTATATTTCTTCTAATTATTATAGAATTTATACTAATTGAAAAGCGATGTTAATGTTGATTGTAGTCAAGCGTATGTTGTTTTCAATCAATAGAATATCCTCTATTCTGTATGAAAATAGCTCAAAATAATATAATACAAATAAAAATGTGTAATGCGATATCATAATGAAACAAGTATTAAATAGTGTTCTTTAGTAAAAATATTCATATTACACTAAGGCGCTTAACTCTCAGTTTACCGTGTTTTACAGTTTTAATTAAGCATTGATACTCTTCCTTACTGCGGAGAAGAGGTTTTATTTAAATATATTAAATGCTTTTTTTATTTGTAGGTAGGTAGGTACCTATCTAATGTCAAAGTATGTTTATCATTTCATTTTACGTAGTATACTTCTCGTTAAGAATTGAACCACTTTGCGTTTATTTATTCTTCATATAAATTTTTAAACTTTATAGTAGTATATTATACATAGTAGTACCTATATTATAAATATAAAAAATATAAATATGCTGGGACATTAACACACAGCACCATCTAGCTCCATGGTAAGCTACGAGGCTTGTGTTATGGATACCAGATAGTTAATACACTACATATATAGGCATAACTTTAAATACATATACCTATATTATAAATATAAACACCCATGACTGGAGTACAAACATTCGTACCTCATCACACAAATGAATGCCCCCAGCGGGACTCGAACCCGCGACCACTGGCACAGCAAGTAGGGTCAATACCTACTACCAAACCGAGCTTAACGTGTTGTATTAAGTGTTTTTGGAAAAATGTCGGCAAGTTTTTGAATCTAAGCACTACACAAATCAAACTATCTATATATATTCAGAGAGCCAAGCTGCACTACTAGCGCTGGACTCAAACACAGTCTCATCAAAGCTAGTGGAGCAGTGCATGGACCTACTAAACCTCCTAGCAAAAAGCAACAAAGTAGTGCTAAGATGGGTACCGGGTCATGCAAGGGTAATTGGCAACGAGTGTGCCGATAAGCTCGCTAGAGGGGGAGCTCTTGGCATGCAGCAGGGTCCTGAGCCCTTCTGTGGAATACCTAAGAGCCTAGCTCAAAGAACCCTAATGATAGCATGTCTCAAGACTGCGAACAAGGCTTGGACTGAATCAAAGGGAATGAATCACTCCAAGACACTAATTAGAGCCTACGACAAAAGGTTTAACAATCTTATGCTAGGGCTGAACAGAAAAACCTTACGAACACTGGTAAGGGCTTTTACTGGACACTGCTGCTTAAATAGCACATGTTCAATCTGGGGCTGAGCGAAACGCGAACCTGCAGAATCTGTAGGGAGGCAGACGAAACGCCACTACATCTTCTGAGGGAATGCGGACCGCTCATGCACAAACGCAGTATTCATCTAGGAAAACAATTTCCAAGCCTTGATGAAATAAAAGAGTGCAACCCTAAGAAAATCCTGCAGTTCTTAACATCAGCAGGGTTTAGTGGTTC